TAAAATCTTGCTGAAGATAATTCAAAAACAGTTGCAGCAGTATATTGACAGAGAGCTTCCAGAAATGCAAGCTGGATTCAGAAGAGGATGTGGAACAAGAGATATCATTGCTGATGTCAGATGGATCTTAGCTGAAAGCAAAGAATACCAGAAAGATGCTTACTTACATTTTATTGACTATGCAAAAGCATTTGATTGTGTGGATCATAACAACTTACAGATAACATTGAGAAGAATGGGAATTCCAGAACACTTTATAGTACTCATGAGGAACCTGTACATAGACCAGGAGGCTGTCATTCAAACAGAAAAAGAGAACACTGCATGGTATAAAATCAAGTAGAGAATGTGTCAGGGTTGTATCCTCTCACCATACTTATTCAATCTGTACGCTGAGTCATCAGAGAAACTGGACTATATGAAGAAAAGTGTGGCATCAGAATTGGAGGAAGATTCATTAACAACCTGCAATATGCAGATGACACAACTTTGCTTGCTGAAAATGAAGATGATTTGAAGCACTTACTGATGAAGATTAAAGACTACAGTCTGCTGTATAGATTACACCTCAACATAAAACAAAAATCCTCAGAACTGGGCCAATAAGCAGTGTCACAATAAATGGAGAAAAGGCTGAAGTTGTGAAAGATTTCATATTATTTGGTTCCACAATCAACACCAATGGAAGCTTAGTCAAGATATCAGACAGAAAGACCTCTTTAAAGTTCTGAAGGGCAAAGATGTCTCTTTGAAGACTAAGGTGTGCCTAACCCAAGCCATAGGGGCTCTGGTAGTGTAGTGCCTAAGGCATTTGACTGCTACCCAGAAGGCTTTCAGTTCAAACCCACCATCCACTCCTCCAAAGGAAGGTTGGGCAATCTACTTCCATAATGACATCATCTCAGAAACCCAAGGAAGGGTTGCTATGGGTCAGATCCGACTCCACAGCAGTGCTTGTCTTTTGCATTGCAACCCAAGTCATGATATTTTCAATCACCTCATATGCATGTGTGAGCTGGACAATGAATAATGAAGACTGAAGAAGAGTTGATGTTTTTGAGTTGTGGTGCTGGCGAAGAATACTGAAAGTACCATGAACTGCCAAAAGAACTAACAAATTTGTCCTGGAAAAACTGCAGCTGGAATGCTTCTTGGAAGTGAGAATGACCAGACTTTGTCTGACCTACTTTGGTCATAGTGTCAGACAGATCATTCCCCGGAGAAGGATATCATGCTTGGTAAAGTAGACGGTCAGTGAAAAAGGGGATGACTCTCAATGAGATGGAGTGACACAGTGGCCGCAACAGTGAGCTAAGGTATAGCAAGTATTGTGAAACTGGCACAGAACCAGGCAGTATTTCATTCTGTTGTCCATAGGGTCATTATGAGTCAGAGCCAACTTGACGGCACCTAACAACAATAACATACTTTATTCAGCATGATATCCTTCTTCAGGGACAGTCCCTTCTGACAACTTGACTGAAGTATGAGAGATGACGTCTAGCCATTCTCACTTCTAAAGAACATTCTGGCTGTACTTACTCCAAGAGAGACTTAGTCATTCTTCTAGCAGCCCATGGTATATTCAATAATATTCTTAGTCAACACCACAATTCAAATGCATCAATTCTTGTGCAGTCTTCCTTATTCATTGTCCATCTTGAGTCATGTGCACCTTAGTATCCAAAGTGGCATCTTTGCTCTTTAACAATTGTAAGAGGTCTTTTGCAGCAGATTGACCCAAACGCAGTATCTCATTTGATTTCTTGATGGCTGCTTCCATGGGCATTGATTGTGGGTCCAAGTAAAATTAAATCCTTGACAACTTCAATCTTTTCTCCATTTATCATGATGTTGCTTATTAAACCACTTGTGAGGATTTTTGTTTTCTTTATGTTGAGGATAATCCATACTGACAGCTAGAGTCTTTGATCTTCATCAGTATGTGTTTCAAGTCTTCTTCACTTTCAGCATGCAAGGTTGTGTCATCTTCATATTGCAGGTTGTTAATGAGTCTTCCTTCAATCCTGATGCTGCATTCTTCTTCATAGCATTCTGTTTCTGTGATTATTTGTTCCACACACAGAGTGAATATGTATGATGAAAGATACAACCCTGATGGACACCTTTCTTGATTTTAAATCATGCAGTATCCCCTTGTTCTTTTTGAACGACAGCCTCTTCTTGGTCTATGTCAGGTTCCTCATGAACACAAAGAAGTGTTCTGGAATACCCATTCTTCACAACGTTATCTATAATTTGTCATGATCCACACAGTCAAATGTCTTCACATAGTCAATAAAACACAGGTAAACATCTTTCTGGCATTCTTCGCTTTCAGCCAAGAACCATCTACATCAGCAATGGTATCCTTCGTTGAACATTATCTTCTGAATCTGGCTTGAATTTCTGCCAGTTCCCTT